AATTACGCGAAATTAGGCCGTAATTACGCGTAATTATAGTTTCGCTTTTTACGCGTAATTATTACGAAATTTTGCGAAATTACGTCGTAGAAATTACGCGAAATTACGCCGTAATTACGCGTAATTATAGTTTTCATTATTACGCATAATCATTACGAAATTTCGCGAAATTACGTTGTAGAAATTACGCGAAATTACACCGTAATTTCGCGAAATGGATATTTCCCCAATTACACGTAATCCTGCGAAATTACACGAAATGAAAATTATTACGCGTAACTGCACGTAATTACGCGTAAGAGAATAATCTATTACGTTGGAAACCCTAGTTTGGGTTAAAACTTGATTTAAAGCTTGTTGGGAAGAAACTTTGTTTGCTTTGATTGTATTTAATACAAGTTTTCAAAAAATGTTAATAATCAATTTAATTTCAGGTTGTTGACATCTTCGTTGAGGACTTTATATTTTGCTTTAACGAGTAAGGAGAAGACGACATTCAAGAGAATCATTGCTTTTTGTAACAGTTTGCTTTAACACATTTTAACTCTTTATTTTATTTCATAAATAAATGTATGCTTTTAATAACATTTGAAATTATATTTGTTTCAAAAAAAACGAGAATGTTAGTTTACTTTTAAGTGACCCTAAATTCAAAGCATGGCAATGTCCGATCTTTACAACCATACCTTTAAACCTTTATCTGATCATAGCCCGTTCTCTCCATAATAGTGTGTAAACGGTGGTCGTGAAGTACACGTACTTTCGGGGACGATAGTTTGGCCACTAGATGTCTCACACAAAATTCTTATCTGATAGATAGGTTAGGTTAGGTTAGGTTAGGTTAGGCTAATTCATACCAGAGACATCTAGCGGCTTAACTATCGTCGTCCAAAGTACGTGAACTACACGACCACTATCTATAGAGATAACAGGCTCTGTTGTGAAATATATAGTAGTTTTTTAAGGCTAAAGGTGTTTTCCTGAAGTAAAAAGGCGCAAGCCACTGTTTTGGAGAAACCACAATTTTTAATATTATAGACATCTAATTCAAATCAAATCAAACATATATATTTGTCCCAAGCCAAAAACATAGAAAATGTCATATTTTAAAACATATTTATGAAACTTGAGACCGGGAGGCATTAATAGCCAGGGGCTGTTTAACACGCAGCCTCCCACTGGAGAGTCAGTTTTTGCAATGATGCTGACTTGAAGAGGTGCTGCTGGATGTCATGCTGATCATGGGATGGAGGGAGCTGGAGCTACTGGAGAGGATACAGTTCATAAACGTACAGGAATCCTTCAGGGAGAGGTCGGGTACCTTCATTCTCGGGGTGGAACACATAAAAATAAATGAGAGTTAAAGGGAGGAGCAAGAATTACAAAATAGTTTTTCACATTGAAAATCTTTAAGATTATCGAGAAGATTGGCTTTTAACGATTGTTTAAAAATGGATTTTTGAGCTATTTCTTTAAATTCAGACGAAAGAAAATTCCAAGCAGTGGGAAATGAGTAAAAAGGAAATCGTCTAAGAAATTCTGTTCTTACTCCCGGCACATAAAAGTCATTTAAATTTCTCATAAAATAAAGGTTTCCAAAAAGTGTAGCATTTCTTACAAATAATTCATCAAAAGAACTAGGCAATAGAGAATGATTGAATAAATGCA